GGCGTCACCTGGCCAGAGGGGCTCTATGGTTGGCACTATGGGGGATGTGGTGAGGAATTATTCACCTTCAATGTTGTATTCATTAATCATTTCAGGTTTTGGTTGGGCGATAATTGCCAACAAGACGCCGCATTTGGCTGATGATATGTACGCGGCCATCCGGAAAGACGCTTTTGTGGAACGTCCTAAGAACTCGCAGTTTGGGAGAGAAGGACTTGGCGCGTACTCCGACCGAGGGTGAGTTGTAGTTCTTTCATTGATGATAGATAGATGATGATGAAATGATTTCAGATACATTCCGGTTAAATCAAGTGTGTCCGAAGTCGTATCGAGAGGCCTCAATTTCGCCGAGGCCGACTCTGTGATTGCAGCAGCAGCGTCCAAACTAGGACACTATTCTGATGCTAGCGTTCTCTATAGTAGAGCTCAGAATGCCCTGGAGATGTCCTTTAACACTGAGAGCAAATTGTTCGAGCCGCTCGAAGCTAGCGGGAACTGGATTTCTCCGTTCGACCCGTCATCGTGGTCAGCTGAGTTCTTTACTGAGGCTTCAGCTCGCCAGTATCGCTTCTATGCGCCTTTCAATGTGGATTTCCTCATCACGAAGTATGGTGGCCGAGAAGCACTCTGTGAGCACTTGGAGAATCACTTCAGTGAACAGGTGTGCCCAGTTTACACAAGCGATTATCGGGGTATAATTCACGAAGAAACCGAGTTGGGACTTACGAGCGAAGATTTTGGTCAATATGGTCACAATAACCAGCCGTCTCATCACGTCTTGGGTATCGCTGTCGCCGCTCAGTGTTTCCACGTCGCTGATAAGTACATGGAAAAAGTTCTGACGGAGCTATACACTCCTGATGGATGGTCCGGTGATGAAGACAACGGTGAGATGGCGGCTTGGTATATGCTTAACTCTTTGGGTTTCTACATAATTGATTTTGCCAAGGACGAATTACTGTTGTTCGCTCCCTTGGTAAAGGGAAACTACACAATATCATTGCTAGGCGAGAAGACAGCAGTTCGGGTTGAGAACGTCGATCTAAGCGGTGGGCACGCGAGTAGCCGTCCGTATGTGTGTGAAGTACGTTGGTACCCGTTGTGTGGCAATATCAATGCTGCTGAGCTCGAGCTGGATTCGGCCAGATCTGTTCGTGGGTTGACGAGAATACCTGAGCCTGTTGATTATGTTGTCCTTGAAACTCGTCGACTGGCTCGTGCTGACTTCGTTAAAGGTGGATGTTTGGTCTATTTCACTAGTGCATCACGTTGTTGAAGAGTAGATAAGCATAAGCCAATAGTATTAGATACTTATAAGTCTGGCTATTTCACCCATCCCTGTTAGAGGCCATTGTGGACTATTTGGCGCCTAGTTGTACTAACTCTGCTAGTATCAGAGTCTGTAGTACAGAGTCTAACTCATTTTGTATCTGATATGACATAGGCTTCAGTTTATCCTGCTCATCATTGACTGTACTAAGAAAGCATCTTGATCGCATAGTCTCTCCATGGGTCTCTCCCCTGTCAATGGAGATCCAAGTCAATAGACAAGCCTGCGTGCGATGCTGGAATCGATTCTGAATATCGATTTCGGGAATCGTCCCCGAAGTCGTGTTCAATAAACACGATTTTGAAAGTTGAAAATCGATCCCGGAAGCGCTTTCAGAATCCATCCCGCCTCGCGTTCAGTAGACACGATTGTCAAAATCGATTACAGCAAGGATTCCAGACTCGACAAATGAAATACGGAAGAAGTGGGGTTCCCCGGGATGCAACCTAAGGCCACCGGGTGGCTGCCCGGCGGGCAGTACCCGCCACTGACAACGCACTTTCAAATTCTATTCGCGGAATTTGAAAAAAGATGAATTCTAAAATATACCTCGACAAAGATCCGAATATGAGACACTCGGATAATACTCCACTAGCTTACCCTACTGAACTAGATTGACTACTTATTGTACTAGTTACTGTTGGGCGGGCCGAACTGTGAACGAGTACCAGTACTTGTCACTGACAAGTTGTCAGCAGGCTATTAAACAGCCGCTGTTTAACTACTGACCAGTTAGTAAGTGGTACTTGGTTGCTGGAACTCAGTATCTGTCTCAAGGTCCTACTTGGCAAGCTTTGCTATTCTTCAGTACTGCGGTCCTCTTTCGGCCACCTGCACTCCTCCGGACCCGATATATTTCCACATATCACATCCCGGGATCGAATCTCCGACCTCCCGTTTACTAGCCAACACGCAAACCCTGTTTGCGTCCCGAGCCTATTTGGAAACAGACGTCATATCCCTGCTGTCAGTAGGCCGCTGATATATCCTCTTTTCTTGCTGTACCGTCGCTCACAACCAGATCCCCGAGAAAAGCTGTTTCCAAGGTCAAGCTTAGACCCTTCGCCAAGTCCAAATAATAATTAAGAGAACAAAGAACTGTAAATGAAGCGGAAAAAGAGACACCCGAAACCCGATGGGGCAACCAGAAACCCAAACTTTTCTCCAAGGCCGAAGTGTAACCCAAGGCCAAACTGTAACCCAAGGCTAAGCTGACATCCTACTGGACAAGTCAAGCTGAACTGAGATGACGGCTTGAAGGTTTGTATTAACCTAGCATAGCTAAGCTAGATACCCTGTAGTTGACGCTAGTCTCTATTCGTAGTTCCTAAGTGATAATATGATTATGATCTCATAGTAACGTGATGATAATTTTGTACGGTTCTTTCTTATTTCTTTTGATTCGATAATACACCTACCCTACTCGTACAGTTGCATTGAGTTCGAGTACACTACTCTTCCTTAGGAATCTGCTAAAAAACGGGCGAGCGCTATTCTTTCCTTAGTTTTTTGCACTTTTCCTTAGAAAAATGTATTTAGCCGACATTTCTCTTCTCAATGCTCTTATCTATGAAGCCTCTGTCACGCGCTACTAAATTTTCAGTGCTACTGGAGTGTGCGATTTTGGAACCACTCTCAGAATCGCGCAAAAGATTCTTCGAACGCGCTAAGAACCACTTCTGGAGACGTTTCTGAGATCGTTTCCAGAGCTGTTTCTATAAACAGAAAATCCCAAAATCGTTTCTAGAAACGCTTATCAGATCTAAAATCGGTCTGTTGAACAGGCGGAAAATCTCTTCCGCAACGCGTACACCATCTCTCGCGTGCGCCCAGGAGATCGTGAAATCTTTGAATGACAGTAAGACCACTGCGTGAGATGGTTGAATCCTGAAATAGCTTACTTCGAAAACGAAACAAGTCGAAAACTTGAAATTCGGTGTGATAAAGCAAAGTTTATGGTGAACTACAATCACCTTATCATCAGTATTGATCACGCCTAGGCTCGTTGACTAGCTTGGAGACCAAGCTGACCTAATAAAAGATCGAATGGCTCCAATTGAAAAACGACTTCAGCCGCTGAAGTTCAGCGGTTTCTATGCAGAGAATGCCAGAGATGCACAATCCTAGCTGAATGGGACAAATCTCATGGAGTTCCGAACTCAGGTTCGAAAAGTCACTGCGTACACCCTACTATTCCATTCGATATAGAATGGTATATACGTCAATCAAGTCAAATTTTCGTTCATAAGCTTGTACAAGTCCCCTTACAGGGAAGGTACTAGACAAACTAAGAAGCGCCCGAGACCATGCATGGTCTAGAGATACATGTAGCTGCAAGTGGTTCAGTGCCATCGAGATAGTATATCATAATATTAGGCGAGCGCCGGGGCGAACGCCTATTGCAGCGCATCGCGCGATTAGACAACGTTGTTGCTATAAGTTATAAGACTTCAGATCGGTTCACGCATTCACAATCAAGGCCACACTACTGTAACTGTTACGCTGGTGCAATTCTCAGAGGATCGTTCTCTGTATGTGCTAAGAATATCAGTGAACCTCGCTGATATCGGCGCTACCCCAGGCTTAACGCGAATCAGTGTCCACTCCACGTTTCGCATGATTCGTGTGTGCAGAACCACAGTCCGGTGTCGGTTGTGATTCCAGCTCTTTCCGTGATTCGGTATGATTTTCTATTTCCCCATACCGGCTCACCTCCATCCATCGATCTGCGGCTTCGAGCAGAATGCCTTTGCATGAGACCATGCTGTAGCAAAGACTTACTGAAAAATCTCGGGCATGTGGAAAATACACTTCAATGCTCTGTTTGATACATACCCAACATCGCTTATTCATGCCTGATGCTTCATTATCATGCGTTATAGCTCACTCATGAATCCGCATAACTATGTGTAACTGCTTTTGAGCCATGAGTTATTTTATTCGACTCAGAACAACACCTTGATGAACGAATTCCCTATAACAAAAAGCTTCCACAGGAGACTTTTTTTGAAACAGTCAATTATCACGAGAACATGATACACCCAGCCATGCAAAACAACAAATCGTCTCAATCTGTCTTATTCTGCGAGCCGGGGCGAGTACTGGGCAGTCAGATCTCATCAGCTGGCCGCCGCTCTACTCGATTGGGTCGGTTTTCGCTCATTTGGTACAACTGAAAGACCAGGATATGAGCAACTATCAGTATAATCCTCTTCACTGATTCCCTATGTATTAGACATACTGGCCGTTGGCAGTGTGAAGAGTTTAACATTGAACCACCTGTGTGGCTGCTTGTGGAATTGTATTGTACCTCACAGCCTTCTAATCTAGTTCGAATACACCTGTGGTAAGCCTAAAATGGTGTTGATAAACACCTTGGAATATCATAGGCCTCGTTCTGAGCTGGTCAAGATGTGCCACAGTAGCTAGTCCCATCTACTGCATTCTCCCCGACTTTGCTTATTGAATTGTCCTTCAGTCTCTCCTTTCTCGCCGGAGACGATGCCGACACGGGCGAAAAACTCCGGTATTCCGGACCATAATCGTCCGTCGCGTACCAATCCCACGTGCTCCAATCGTAGACTTCTGGCACGGGTGGTGTCTCGTTGGCGGCCTGCACATCGCGAGGAGCGTTCTTGCAAGGAGTTTGACTCATTGCCGGGAAATTTGCAGATTGGGCACTGATGGATTCCAGTCACCCCAATCTGTCTCCACGCATACTTTTGATACAAAAATCGTAAAAACCTTCTATCTTGAACGAAATGGGGAGTATGGGCCAGTGACTTCGGTTGAGACGCTCTCTCGAAGACTGTTCACTACATGCCCTGGCTATCGCCCATAACATGCGAAAGATACCATCTAGATCTGACCTCTCCCCAAGCAGTTTTCGATAGAAAAACCGTTAAGTTGCACTATCGGTGATAAGTGTTCACACTACTGCACGAGTCAGTCTGTACCAGCATCGGCTTTTGACAAAGAAACCGTAGAATCTCAGGCTTAGATCTTGACGAGTGAAGTAGAATAGTGCTTGTCCTCTCTTCCCATCGGGAAACCCCCAGAGCTGATTAATGGCTTTCAGCGGTAGAAGCCGATGTCCCTCCCGAACCTCGAGCACTGTGCACCGTCTCGAAAAAGGCGAGGCGGTCGCCCCTGAATTACAATCGCCTCAGTCGCTCAATACAAGAGGAGACGAAGAGGCTAAATGCTCAAGAGATCAGAGATCAGTGCTACCTCGCGTTTCTTGAGCCGAGGCAAACCAAGTAAAATCTCGTTGAGAACTTTTGCGAAGAGGGGGAAGTTCAGTAACTCTAGGTCTGAACGGCCCGGGGATCGGTCACGACTCACGTCCCATAGTAGATAACGACTACTGTTGCGCGGCGTTTCATGATGAGGCTGTTTGTTGGTAGATCATCAATCTGTTAAGCTACGTGGATACAATCGTTTGTCAAAAGGCACTCACTCATGTTTAACAAGATCTCCAACATACGGTGAAGACGTAAATTGTAGACAATTTGTGCGGGGATGTTTGGTAGTAACACCCTTGGCCTGGGAGTGGCCTTCATTTGGCTCGGCAGTAGCGACCTCGTTAACGGTCGAGATTGTCTGCCGGGCAGTCAGTGGAGGACACTGCGCACTTGGAAAAGGTAGTTTTTGATGCAATGTTTGGCAAGCAACACCTTCTGCAGTGGTGTAGGAAGCTTCACTATGGCTGTATGTTATATGAGTCTCCGATGCCGATGTGCCTACGTGTAAATGCCTCTGACATCGCTGTGCTTGCGTGTGAATAACATCGTTTGATGCGAGTGAAACCTGTAGCCTTCGAGTTGTGGCAGGGCTCATGTCGACTCACGAGTGCCATCTGGGCGCTGTGGAGGATGACACGCAAGGGGCACTCAGGACACTCAGGATAGTAAGCTTCTGTCGTGAGTTACTGAAGCTTGCTACCTGGAGTGCCCCTAGGACCTACATCGGAGACCTCGGTTAAAAAAATATATATATCACGCTTAACAAATATACTACTCCAGATTGCCAAGACAGCCTGGCTTGTGTGACTAGCTTGGCAGCTTGAAGGACTCAGGTTGTCCCTTGTCTCGGCAGCGATTGTGCCAATCGCTGTCCCAAATCAGGTTTCGCCGAAAGACAACTGAGGAACTAAGCTTCTCCTAAGCATCGTTTCACACTATAGTCGTGACATTCGCGAGATTCCCTAACGGTCCCGCAGACTGAAAATGGGCACAACGTGCATTATCGAACGACATTGTCGTTACGTCAATACTCTTGGTATTGGTGGTATTTCAGATCCCACTCGTCTTCCCAGCACCGATGTTGGAGGAATATAAGCTCACTCTCTTCAGCTGAGTTCAGAGCTTCCTTCATTGATTATAAACTTATATATTCGAATTGAGTCAGCAGTGTTCAGAAAGCAGCAAGAATTTCCTAAGATTTCCTCAAAATTTCCATTTTGTCACCGGCACGTGTTGGCGTCAATATGGTCAACATGTCCATGTGCAGTTTTTATCATTCTGCTCGGAAAATTCTCGCGCGCGCCACAAAAAAATCTCATTTTTAGCACAAAAATCTTTCTTGTCCGCAACAAAAAATTCTTGCTCGCCACAAATCTCTGTGGGCGTGCAAGAAAGACACAGGATCCCTGCCGCGAGGATAGATGGGGAATAGCTAATAGCTATTAGCTATCGCCAGTTTTCGTGGGTTTTTGGGTTATCTGTTTCTTTGTCTACTTCTTCGACTGTTGAGTTGGCACAAGGCATCAATGGGGAATACAAGGATGAAGGTTATTTTGCATCGCACTTGTAATGTCTGGAGGTAAAGACCGTGAGAAATTCAAGGTCTTCATGAAAGCTATGGCGGATGTGGCCGAACGCGCGTTCGGTATAGAATCGAGTAGCGGCACTCGTGCTAACTTGGCTTTGGAGGCTAGTTCCTTGGCTACTTCTTTGTTAAACACGGAGGCGGAGGTTATGGACGCTGATGATCCTCAGCACCGTCAAATTCAGAAGAAAGGACGTACTGCTGCGGTGAAGTATCGGGTTGTTGAGGTTACTTGTGATGAGTTACTTCAATGTGATGAGTTGTCGGATGCTGAGGTCAGACTTAATGGAATCGTTGGCTCTAAGATGTGTAAGCGTAACTCGTATGTAAGGAAGAAGACGGTCGATGTCACTCGAGACTATCGCTGTGCCTTTAAGGAACGTAGAGCATACGCTTCGTGTAGTTATACCGCCCAGATATCCTGGTCATCTCGTGGTATCTACAAGATCCTACTCCCGTACTCAGAACACGAGGAACACACGAGACTTGAGACTGCAACCGGCAATCAGCCCTTCTCACGGAGACCTATACCCCTTAGTCAAGAATGCAAGAGAATAATCGATGATCATGTCCTTGATGGTACTCCAGCTTGCCGCACTGAGAGAAAGCTGATCAAACTGAAGCTCATCAAGAAGCTTACACCGGCTGTGAAACAACAAATATTTAGAAGACGATACACAGTTAAAAAGCTATGCGGAGCGAAGATCGCGTACATTCTGGCGACACTCTATTGGAAATTGAGGAGTTCTGTAAGCAGAATAGTAGCATTCCATCTGACGAGGACCAACCGTACTGTATAGGCTACTGCAATGCCTCAAGATTCGAGGCATTTTTCTCTACAAAGCGTTTAATCCAAGAAAATGGAAACACTACAATGGTAGATACTATGGTTATCGATTATACACATAAACTGAACTGGCTGGGCCTTGTTGTGGTAGTCTGTGGATGTTTACGTCCACCTTCGCGGTTCGGACTGTTAAGTATTGGCTACGTTTTGAACGAGGACAGCACATCGGCCGAGTCGCTCTTATCTTGCCCTCGAGGGCGAGAACGGCTTTGATAAGGGCGTCAGTTCTCGGCTCAGCCCCCAATGTTGTAGTTTCAGTTGAACTCATCTTCAAAGCCGTTGTGGGATAAGCAAATTATCGCTATCGAATACGAATGGCAAAAACGGATGAGCGGCTCAAACCCCTCGCGTCACGTCACACGTGGTGTCACTGGGCACGAGTAGGGCGAGCGATAAAACGAAAGGATGTTGAATGACAATTGTGGGGAAAGTATGATAATCGTCGATCATCGGACACTGTTCCTCATCAGTAGGAAGTCCGTATTTTAGCAGCCCATTACAGTTCGAGTATCTTACGTACTTCAGGGGCTCTTATTTGGTTCTTAATCTTCGGTCTATTCCATCGCTATTACTCCGATATGGATTCGAGTCCTAGTAGAGAAAGCGATGTTGGGTTACACGCGAGTCCGTCGACGATAGCTTCCAATGAAGAGTCTGCAGGGGAGGAAGCCGTGTCGCTACTACACCGACTAACCACAGAGTTGGTTTTCTTGTCAGTCTTATTTATTTGTTGTTATTATGAACAACTTGTTGGACGTCGTCCTTGCCTTCATAGTAATGCTCGGTATCGTTCAAGCTGCTGCTAGCCTCGTCGATTATGTTAACGTTTTAGCCGGTACTTCTAATACTTATGAGTTGTCTACTGGTAGCGCCACGCCCCTCATGGGCCGACCATTCGGCTTCAATCATTGGTCTGTTCAAACCGAACCCGACCATGATCCTAAACGCTACTTCAACCCGGCCTCGAGAAGCTTCTACGGTGTACGATGCACTCACCAACCGTCCGTATGGTTGGGCGACTATGGTTATTTTCTCGTTAATGCTATCATTTCCCGTGACGAACCACAGCAATCTGTGTCGTTCGCTCCGCTGCAGACTACTTACAAGCCACACTACTTCAAGTCATCGGCTCTGTATCCTGGTAACGCTGATATGGGTGGCGCTAGGATTGAAATGACCCCGACGGAACATGCTGCATTTTTTCGGTTTTCATTCCCACCCAAGGTGAATTCAGCGGTGCTCGTGAGACTATTCGACTATAACTCATCGACACCAGTCGTGCTCGACAAGGAGGGTCGTTTTTCTACTCAAACCAGTGTTAACAACGGTGGTGTATTGCCTGGGTTCGCCATGTTTATCAATGGGGCAATTGACCCACCACCTGCACGCATGCGCAACGTAGATGGTTCAATCATGCTGGAGTATGATGCTGCGGAAAATAATAAAAGACTTTCGGTACACCTCCGTATCGCTACTTCTTTTATCTCTAATGAACAAGCTCAAGTAAATTTGGCGAGGGAGTTACCTTTGTGTAAGAACTTTGATACTTTCGTGAAGGAAGGTGAAGACGTATGGCAAACACGCCTAAGTCTGGTTACCTATGATACAGTACAGCGAAACAGTAACTTTTTGAGAACTTTTTATACCAATTTCTATCGAACTATGCTGTTCCCGAGACTCCTTGGTGAATATGATCAGAATAATCAACTCGGGCACTACAGTGTTTATACTGGGAAAGTCGTTCCCGGCGAGTTGACGACTGACAGTGGCTTTTGGGATGCTTACAGGACGGTTTACCTCTGGTTAAGTGTTGCCGCTCCGGACATTCTAGATCGTCTTTTAGAGGGGTGGGTGAATGCCTATAAGGAAGCTGGATGGTTACCGACGTGGGCGTCACCTGGCCAGAGGGGCTCTATGGTTGGCACTATGGGGGATGTGGTGAGGAATTATTCACCTTTAATGTTGTATTCATTAATCATTTCAGGTTCTTGGTTGGGCGATAATTGCCAACAAGACGCCGCATTTGGCTGATGATATGTACGCGGCCATCCGGAAAGATGCTTTTGTGGAACGTCCTAAGAACTCGCAGTTTGGAAGAGAAGGACTTAGCGCGTACTCCGACCGAGGGTGAGTTGTAGTTCTTTCATTGATGATGGATAAATTATGATGAAATGATTTCAGATACATTCCGGTTAAATCAAGTGTGTCCGAGGTCGTATCGAGAGGCCTCAATTTCGCCGAGGGCGACTCTGTGATTGCAGCAGCAGCGTCCAAACTAGGACACTATTCTGATGCTAGCGTTCTCTATGGCAGAGCTCAGAATGCCCTGGAGAAGTCCTTCAATACTGAGAGCAAATTGTTCGAGCCGCTCGAAGCTAGCGGGAACTGGATTTCTCCGTTCGACCCGTCATTGTGGTCAGATGAGTTCTTTACTGAGGCTTCAGCGCGCCAGTATCGCTTCTATGCGCCTTTCAATGTGGATTTCCTCATCACGAAGTATGGTGGCCGAGAAGCACTCTGTGAGCACTTGGAGAATCACTTCAGTGAACAGGTGTGCCCAGTTTACACAAGCGGTAATTTTGGTTTACTCCACGAAGAAACCGAGTTGGGACTTACGAGCGAAGATTTTGGTCAATATGGTCACAATAACCAGCCGTCCCATCACGTCTTGGGTATCGCTGTCGCCGCTCAGTGTTTCCACGTCGCTGATAAGTACATGGAAAAAGTTTTGACGGAGCTATACACTCCTGATGGATGGTCCGGTGATGAAGACAACGGTGAGATGGCGGCTTGGTATATGCTTAACTCTTTGGGTTTCTACATGATTGATTTTGCCAAGGACGAATTACTGTTGTTCGCTCCCTTGGTAAAGGGAAACTACACAATATCATTGCTAGGCGAGAAGACAGCAGTTCGGGTTGAGAACGTCGATCTAACCGGTGGGCACGCGAGTAGCCGTCCGTATGTGTGTGAAGTACGTTGGTACCCGTTGCGTGGCAATATCAATGCTGCTGAGCTCGAGCTGGATTCGGCCAGATCTGTTCGTGGGTTGACGAGAAGACCTGAGCCTGTTGATTATGTTGTTCTTGAAACTCGTCGACTGGCTCGTGCTGACTTCGTTAAAGGTGGATGTTTGGTCTATTTCACTAGTGCATCACGTTGTTGAAGAGTAGATAAGCATAAGCCAATAGTATTAGATACTTATAAGTCTGGCTATTTCACCCATCCCTGTTAGAGGCCATTGTGGACTATTTGGCGCCTAGTTGTACTAACTCTGCTACAGAGTCTAACTCATTTTGGTATTCCTCGAGTCTGATATGACATAGGCTTCAGGTTATCCTGCTCATCATTGACTGTACTAAGACAGCATTTTGATCTTAGTCTCTACGTGGGTTTTTCCCTGTCAATGGAGATCCAAGTCAAGCCGCCCGTTCAATAGAAAAGGCTGTGTGCGATGCTGGAATCGATTCTCAAAATCGATCTCGGAAGCGCTCCTAGAATCAATTCCGACTTGCGTTCAGTAGACACGATTTTCAAAGTCGATTCCAGCAAGGATTCCAGACTGGACAAATAAAATGCGAGAGAAATGGAGTTCCCCGGGATGGAACCTGAGGCCGCTTGGTGTTACACTTGGATAACAAACCGCTAATTAATCCTACTAAACTAGATAAACTTCTTATTGAACTAGTCACTGTTAAGCGGAACTATGAATCCGAAGCCCGAACCCTCTCTGGGTCTTACCTTGGGCCATAGGTTCACAAATTATGTTTGGTCACACTAACTATGTCACGGAATCTGGCCCATACCTGCCCTGACATATGTTAGTGTCTCCCAACCAACTTGGGACAAGACTTAAAAAAAGAAGTTCTTTTTTAAGTCTTGTCTTTTTAAGTCTTCTTTAAAAGAACGAGACTGGTTCATGGGTGGAACCATCTCGGCCTCACAACCTACGATTCGATCGATAACATCAGAATACACCAACATTATGCTGGCAACATATTTCTCATTTCGTGCTCTTGCTTGAACTTGCCTTTACGAAACTTTCACAGTTCGTCATGAAACGAACAGGGCCGTCAGTTGGTCTTGGCCGAGCGTTATGAGTCTCTCAAGAAGCTGAGATGGAACAATGATGGAGGTATTGCTAAAATGGGGAATAGGCAAACTCACCTATCACAATTCGTCATGAAACGGCACGAGCCATCAGTTGGTCTCGGCAGAGCGCTACAGGTCTCTCAAGGAGCTGAAATTGAACAATGATGGAAGTGTTGGTATAGTGAGGAACAGGCAAACTCACCTATCAGTTCATCATGAAACGACGAGGGCTATCGGTTGGCCTCATCCAAGTGTTGTGACCCTCTCAAGGAGCTGAATTGCTGACCGTCGGGGCCGCCGGCCCTGCCATGACCAACATAGCAACCTCGTAAGTTACGAGGCGAGTCGTAACAGGGCCCATGCGTCAAAGTGATTCGAGCTTACACAGTCTTGATCCGAGCCTCCTCTTATCTTCTACTTCCACATGTTCTACTGCGAGGGGTGTCAAGTGTCCTTGGGAGCGAGTTTATTCGGTTATTCCACTGTCTTCCCTTCCCGCCCTTTCTCATACTACCAACGAAGCAGGTTTTACTTGGTACACAGGTATTGCCTACTGCAGGGTTGTCCAAATCGGGAAAGAATTGGGTCAAATTCTTGCCTCAAAATTTCCGTTGAAATTTCCGGAAATTTGGCACAATATGAATCGTTTCGCTCCGCGCTGCGCGCGGTTGTGAGCAGTTCTGATTATCGCTCGCCCATTAATCATCTGCTCAGCGCAGTTCTGATTATCGCTCACCCATTAATCATTTTGCTCAGTAACGGTAAGATACACTCCAGTAGTTGCTACGATAAACACAAAAAACTAAGATTCGGTAATTATTTGCTCTATGTCTGCCGGATTGAGTCTAGTGGATTCGGGGAATCGTCGACCTCAACGATCTTGCGTCGGTCTTGGTGTGGAGCGCTTTGCTGACTCTTCACACGGTTTTCCATAGGCGCATCAGCAGCACGATAGTGGCGCCCCTGGGTAGGTAACCTACCGTAGGTTGAGCATGGCGTTTACGGTTCTATAAACCACTGCATTAAGAACCGACGCTCGCTGCATCGAAATCCTCCACAATCGGCTGGCAGTGGCTTCGTTATGACTATATATGAGCAATGAGAGCATGTCCACCGTCTAGATAGAGTGGGTGTAACTCTTGATTTTTTCCTGCGAGAGTCACTTAGTGAGTCATCACCCAGTACTGACTCTCGTACAAAACGGTGATACCATAACCAGGAATCGTCCAAGATGGCCTAGTAGAGATGTATGCGGATACGTCATTCAGAGTTTAAGACCGGTGGACCACAGGTCACGCGCCCATACCGGTCAATGCACGCATACCCATAGGCTCTGGGTATGCGTGCATTCATGCGTGCCACCACATTGGTGGAAAAGCGAAATGAGGAGAAACCATAGAATTCGAAAAACTTAGAGAACCATAGAACTGGGAAGCTCGGAAAATTTCCGACGGAAACACGTTCCGTAGGCAGTTTCAAACTGCCGCAGTTTGCACCGCGACAGTGTAATATCCTGGCAAAAAAAGAGCAAATCAACAACTTTCCGACACTCCCAGAACGAGCGGTCGACTGCCTGGCAGTCTGCCACACCATCACACGTTAATCTGTTCAGCAACTCTCAGGATAAAGGTGGGAAGGACGTCCCGAAATCACCCACACTTGCGTTAAACGCCCTTTTTCAATACTAGTGGGCCACTAGCAGTGGCTCCCTAGTGTCACTTCTTCCTGTAGCAATATTCATCGGTACCTCACGAGTTGTCTTGCGTCGTTCTTTGCAATGCGCGTAAACATTCGAGGAGTTGGTCGTTTGTGCCTTCCGTACGTTCCCTCTCCGGACTCGCGCGTGGATTGGCGAAGAATGGAAAACGATCCGCGGAGCCGCGGATCGAACCCACGACCTCGCCCGAAAATTCCGGAAATATCGACCACTTCTAGAAACATGCTTTCCGGCGCAAATGTCCCGAAAATTTCCCGAAATTTCGGGAAATTTCCGCTTGAAAGAATTTTTTCTTTCGAGCCCGAACAACCCTGGCCTACTGCTTGAGCGAGCCAGCAATCTCGAAGCGAATCGATCTCATTAACGGTCGCTGAATACCGAGTTTTACCTCAGAATCATGATTGACATTCATGACAAACTCTTTGTCCATAGCAGCAGATTATTGACATCTATGAGGGTAAATGCAAATAATCAAGGACAATGGGGAATAGTCAAGGACGCAATCTCGCTCGCCCTTTGTGAAATTTTGGGGAATATTCAAGGGAGAGGGCTAGGGACTTAGTTGGCCAGTTGAACAATGTTCTTTTGTGATAAAATGGAGGGCGAAGCAACGATTCCTAGTCTAGAAGACCAACCCGCCAACCTATTCCAATTATAATGCAAACACCATACCTACAGTGTAGGTATGAACTAGACACATCTATCGAACCTTAGCTCTGATACCTAACCATTCTCCGGTTTCGTGTATTTAGGATGTATGAGATAGTAATACTGAGACTTACCGTAAATAAACGCACAAGTAGGAAGAATAGAAATAAGTAGAGATCGCGTGGCAATGCCACGGTGGCACCAGAGCGGGGGTCTCGTTGTAGGACGTTAAACGGAGTGCTCAATTATTCGCTAATTAACAAACCGTAACGGATTTGTCTGCATAGACTTGATGTTCAAGTCTTCAACTTACTTAGTAGGAGACGTTGTCGTGAAAAAGTCGGTAATAACTAACCGACCAGTAGCATTAACAGCAGCGGCGATAGAAGCATTTCGTGCTGGGGAGGATAGGTCGGCAGAAAGTGGAGCAGAGCGATACAGATGCCACACCTTGCGTATGTGCCGCCGTTGGCGATGAGTAATGTTGGTCCTATCTAAGTAGTACCTAAAGAGAAGAAAATGGCAACCATTCAATTGCAAATCCGAGATTTGAGCTAAGTTCAAGGTGAACTGTTCAGCGAGGTTACTTTGTGAACGCTGCAGTCGTCTGCTGCCGGTGGAACCACTCTGTAGGAGGCAAATGAATTCCTAAGCGGCGCTCCATTCTGATAATGCGTCTTTCTTCTAGAGGTATCGAGCTGTTGCGGAGAACTAAAGGGTAACGATGGGGGGAGGAGAGATGAAGGGAGGCTCCTCTCGAGATCGGCTGGGTGACTCTCACGAGCGGACGGAGATGGCAGTAGGCCCTAATGATTAGGGCACCTTCGAGAAACCTTGGAGGGAGGCTCAATCTAGAACTCTGGAAGATCGACAAACGACGTTCTATCAAAGCCCTCGCTTATAATTTATAATTTAGGAAGAAGCCGATTAAAAGGGTCCAAAAAGCAGTCGACAGACCTTACAAAGAACTGTCGGCTGAGAACTCCTTAGGGAAGTCCTCAGGGAATCCACACACAAAACCCATATACAAGCGCGAGCTCTTACTCAAGTGCGAGCTCTTATACAAGTTCTCGAAAAAACTGTCATTACGGGTAAACCCGAACCCCGACGGTCTTATTCCAGGAGACCCAGATAACAAGGAAACCAGGAACCCGAAGGGAATAACAAGGAAACCAGGAACCCGAAGAGAATAACAAGGCAACCAGAAACCCGAAGAGAATAACAAGGCAACCAGAAACCCGAAGGGAATAACAAGGCAACCAGAAACCCGAAGGGAATAACAGTGTAAACCCCTAGCGGCTAGGGCCTAGCCCGATGCGGACCGCATTACGCGGTAGAGACGTCATTTACCTTAGGTATGGACGCTATAACGTGGTTAATAGTAACGTAGGACTCCAATTCTAGGAACGTCATCTGTTTGGGCCCGCGCCTTGACTATTTGCAAGAATAAACTGCGCGGGGCGAGCGAGAAATCACCTTGACTATTCACGATTTCCCTTGAAAATGCAAGGTCAAACATGGAACCTCCAGTCACAAAGGGACCGGTGGTGAAACAGGTTTGACCGGTCAAAATCCACGCCGAGCAAGCTCCGACTCCGGGCGGAGGGCAGAAAAGTGCGCCGCTCCAGAACACAGTTGTTCTTGCGTGCATAGCTCGAGATCGATCAACCATTGCAGCGGGTGCAACATACTCAATTGTATGTTGAGCA